GCCCTGGTTCCTCAGTGCCTGCCCGCCTGGACCAGCCTGGGGCAGCGAGCGGAGGGTCAAAGGCCGACCTGGTGCTCACCCTGCCCTGCCGCCGTCTGGTCGGGGAACCCTCACATCTCTTCTTCACATCTCTGCTTCCTGGACCGTGAGGTGAGGGTCCTGCCCGAGGGCCTGCTGGTGGGTGCGGCCTGGTGGGGAACCCTGGCTCCTGCCAGGCCGGGCTGAGGTTCACTGACTGCTGTTCCCGTCGCCCCTGATCCAGAGAAGCTCGAGGGTGGGAGACGCTGCGAGCGCCCCGCTCGGCCTGAGAAGAGGCCCTCGGCCAGGTGCTCAGCGCATCCGCAGCCACGCGCCTCTGCCACCAGCACTCTGAGCCCCCGGGCGTCCGGGCCGCCTGCACACCCCGGCCACGCCGGACGGAAAGCGCTCCGACACCGGACCTCCCAGAGCTTTCTAAAGGCAGCGGCCACGGTGTCCGCTCGGTCAAGGGCCGGGCTCTGCTGGGGCGAGGCTGAGTCCCTGCCTGGCTTCACCTGCGTGGATCCAGGGGGTCAGGCGGGTGTCAGAAGCCTGCCCGCGACTGCCCAGCACCTGGCTACACAGTGTCAGGAGAGAAGACAGTTTGTGCGTTTTCACTCGCTCCGCCTTCACGTGAACCCGGGGCAGGGGTCCCCCGTTCACCCCGCTCACCGGAGGACACTGAGGCCGCAGAGCAAAGGGCGGGGGGGTGACGCCCAGGCTGTCTGGCTCCAGACCCACGCTCTGAATGACTAAGCACAGGGCCTCCTGAGAGGGGCCACCAGCAAGGCCTCCTGTGGCCCAAGAAGCCCCCCCAGCTTCCACGCCTCAGCCACCCGCGCCCCGGACGCACGGCCCACTCGAGAGACGGGCTCACTACCTTGCTAAGGCCACCTCCTGACCGCAGACCCCTCCCCACCGAGCTGACACCCCCACACACACCTTCTCAAGGTGAGAACATCCGCTCGCCCTGCAGACGGGATCTGGGGTGCCGACTCCATGCAGGCCCAGGACTGGGTTGGGTGCAGCAGAAGGGGCAGGTTCATGCTCTCAGCCCCTTGGGCCGGCTCGCTGCACCTGGGGCCTCTGGCCTCCACTGGACACAGGCCACGCCATCCCCACCCCGCTGACGGGGCCTGGAGTATCGGGGGCTGTGGGGAAGGCTGCTTCTGTGCAAACCTGGAAATGCGCCCGGCCAGACTGAGGCTGCTCTGCTTGTCTGGGGCCCAGGGCCTGGGGTGCAGGCCTGAGGCGCCCAGAGGCCTTGCTCTCACCCCGATACTCCGCCCCGGGTGGAGCTTCCTGCCGGTGAAGGGACCCTCCACGGTGCTGCCCCCTCCCAGACGCCTGGTCCGGGTGTGGCTGCCGCTGCTCAGACACGGTCTCCTCACAGGGCCTCTGCCCCGGCTCGGACCAGCACAGCGCTTGCCACTCTCAGGGGGTAGACATTTCTCATCCGTCTCCCCACTTCACCGAACAGGGCTATCGAGTCCGCCTGGACCCCAGGGCCCAGAGCGGGGCCTGGCATGAGGCTGGATCCCGTCATCGGGGGCCTAAGTCGCCTGTGCCCCGTCTTACCCTCCCAGGAAGGCCTCCTGCCTCAGTTTCCCAGCTCAGTCCGGCCCAGGCCGGGCTCTCTCGCCCAGCTGCCCACCAGCTGCGGCGAACATCGCCGGGCACACATCTGGCCCAGCTTCAGGTTAAAGGAGAGACGTACACGAAGCTCCCAGTCAGCAGAGCGAGGGCGGCCACGAGGGGAAAGTCCGCCGGCCTGAGAGACGAAACCAAACCAAACGTCACCCTGGGGCCCGGGCTGTGCGCCGGCTGCCCCTGGGCAGGGCGTGGGGGTGCGAGCTGCGAGGTCCGGAGGAAGGGCTGGGGTCCGAGGAAGGAACAGGCTGTCCGTTGGTCACGCTGAGGGGAGCCCGGAACATTCTGGGGGGTGTGGGGACCGGGTGACGCCAGCCGAGCTGACAGTCACCAGTATTTCCATTCGATTCTGCAGGTGCCGGCGGCTGGCGATGAGCTAACTCCCTCCTCCTGCTGTCCCAGCCGTTCCGAGAAAAAAGGCAGGTGTTGCCCTGGCCGGTTTGGATCAGTGGTTAGAGTATCAGCCTGCGGACCAGAGAGACCTGGGTTCGGTTCCTGCTAAGGGCACGCACCTCGGTTGCGCTTTGTCCCCGGCCCTGGTTGGGGTTGTGTGGGTGGCAGCCACTCGATGTGTCCCTTTCATGTCGATGTTTCTCTCTCTCTTCCTCCCTCTGCCTCCTGCTCTATCTGAAGATAAAAGCAAAAACGTCCTCGGATGAGGATAAAAAAAAGGCAGGTGTCCAACCCGATTCTGCCTGAAGCAGGTGCGCTGCTGTCGTGAGGCGGCTCCGAAGGCTCCGGGACGTCCTTCGGGGGTTGGGAACCCCCTTCACAAGGCGCATCCGAGGGGCACGGACCCCTGTTCCCGGGGCAGGTCCCTGATCGGCCAGGCTCAGAACAGCAAGGATCCTCCCGTTCACCTGGTGGGAGGTGGGTCTGTGGGGCCCGGGCATGAGCCCCTCCCAAGGACACAGGCTCCCATGCGGTTCGCACCCGTCCACGCAGGGAGGTGAGGGAGTCGTCAGGACTCTGAAAACGGCCACGACCGTCTTCGCCAGATTTGTGCTCCCTTTGTTTTTTATGTCGTTATCTTTCATTGTGATGAAATACACGTAACATAACGTTTAGTATTTTAACCATGTCTAAGTGCCTGCCTCACTAGCAGTAAACTCATGTACACTGAACCTCAGCGTCTCCAGCCCTTCCAGCCCCCACTGAGCTGACCACAGACACCTGACAAGGTCAAGTCCAGCCCGAGACGCCAGCCAACCCGCAGGCTCCTGAGCGAGGACACCCAGTGGCTGTTTCCAGCCATTACATTTGGGGCAATTTGGCAGCAACAGAAAACTGACACACTGTGCTCCCCAAGACTATGGCTGGCTGGGTGTCCCCCCTGGGGTCCTGGGACCCCCGCTGGCGGAGGCTCTCTGGACTCCCCACCCCCAGAGCCAACGGCCACGAGGCCTGTGGCTGTGCTGTGTTATTTCGGGTTCCTGGCCTGTTTCCATGTCCCCTTGAGATGAAAGTCTTCCTCCAAAGCCCCCTGCCCACGCTTGGCCGTCCTGTGCCGTGGCTGATCACGTGACTGAGCGTGGCACGTGGACGGCCAGGCCTGGGTCGCACATCAGCCGGAAGGGACGGCTCGCCGTAGCGGCGGGTGGTGGGCACAGGGTCCCTGTCCGTCCACCTGTGGGCACAGCACCCTGTCCGCCAAGCCCAGGGCCCGACCTGCCCAGGCGGCGGTGGTGTGTTAACTGATCACTGAGACGTCTGTGGGTCCGTGTTCCCATTTCGGCTCTTCCTGCGCTTTCGCAGAGGAGCTACTTCTAAGTGTTGCAAACAGATGTCATTGTATCTAATTATCAGCTGCTTCTTTCTATCGGCTACTGGCTACTAGGGTAGAAAGCAGCAGCATGTTCTGCAGCCAGACGGCCACACAGGACAGTGAGGACCAGCGGAGCAGAGCGGACACCTGCGCCCCGGCTCCCCGCACTCTGCCAGGCTGCCGCCCCACAGTGAGTTCTCAGAGGCTGTTACCTGGCTTGGGCAGGGGGCAGCCTACAGCGGGGGGTTCCCGGAGTTCCCGGCCGGGACCTCGCAGGGGCCAGGAGTCCCTGCCCAGGAGGTGTGTGCCGCTAGGAAGGCCAGAGGCCCCTGGGTGGACTCGGTGCAGCAGGACGGACGCGCAGAGCGAGAGGTGTCCTGAGGACCTGGGCGCCCGCCCGGCTGCTCTGAGCCCCTCCCAGCAGGACCAGGCTCAGAGCAGTTGAGACCGAATCGCCCGAGTCCACCGTCAGGGCAGCGGGACGCTCACCCCCCTCAGCGTCCCCACACGGCCCACAGCGTTGACAGGCCTGCTGCTGTGTCTGTGAGGGGCCACGCCACGCCCGGGAAGTGGGGGGCCGTGCGGGCCCCACGGGGCTCAGGGACGGAAGGAGCCGGCCTGACCACAGGGCCCGGGGGCACAGCCCGGCCCTCGGCGACACGTTTCGGGGTCTCCACCACGCGGAGCCCGGGGCTTCCTCTGGGCTGAGCCCACTGCCTCCAGGGCCCATGGGGCCGCGGCCAGCCCCCCACAGAGGGGCCACTGATGGGGCTGCACCCTGGAGGCCCGGCAGCCGCATCTGCAGGATCTGTCTCACGGGCCACGGGCATCTGCCTACAACCCGGAGTCCTGCTTGGGGCACGTCCCAGCGCGACTGTGAGTGTGATGTCCCTACGCCCAGGTGGGGGCACAACCGCCCTGTGGTCAGCAGGGTCGGGGAACCCCCCTTTCCCACTCCTCTGCTTGGCCACTGGAAGTCCAGCGTCCACACTGGTAAGGGGAACCCCGGCATCTCCCTGACCGTCCACACGGTGGTTCTCACACCACCGCCTGCGGCACGGCTCAGGGCGGCCTGTGCTCTGGCCCCAACCCCGCCTGCGCCCACACCCTCTGGCCCCTGGGTTTGACCAGGCTCACACGTTTACCCCTCAACACCTGCTCCTGGTCCCCCTCATGGAACGGCCGCCCCTCTGGGGTCCTCCTGTCCCTTTCGCCCAGGGCCGTTCTGCCAGCGATGAACCACATTCCAGTTCTGTTCCTCAGGACTCTGACCCTGTTACAGCGATCGTAACACCGACTTAGCACTTGGTACGCACCAGGCACTGTTCTGAGCATTTTACTTACTGCATTTTAAAAAAAATATTTTTTTCCTTTATTGATGTTATTTATATTTCTTTATTGGTTTTAGAGAGACGAAGGGAGAGGGACAAAGAGATAAAAACATGGATGAGAGAGAACATCGAGTGGCCGCCTCCTGCACGCCCCCCACTGGGGATCAGCCCACAACCTGGGCATGTGCCCTGACCAGGAATCGAACCAGCGACCTCTTGGTGCAGGGTCAACGCTCAACCACTGAGCCACACTGGCTGGGCTACTTATTGCATTTCATTTAAACTTCCGTGACTCCACACTGTGAGTACTTCCATCATGTCCATGTTCGATGAAGACACTGAGCACAGAGATGTCAAGTAACTTGCCCAAGGTCACACAGCAGGTCAGGACAGAGCTGGGGTGAACCCAGGTGCTCTGGCCCCAGAGTCTGTGCTCCGGACGCTCCCCCTCCTTGATGAGAGGCCCCCTCGCACGTCACCTGGTGAGCAGGGCCCTCTGGGGTCTCCAACTCCATGGCCAGCGGGTGGGACGTCAGTGCTGTTGTAAGAAAAGAGGCCCCTTTCCTTCTGGGAGTTTCCTTACGGCTCCGTCCCAGCCCCAGTGCACAGAGTCCACTGCTCCCTCAGTTATTTTCGTCAGCTTAGTTTTGTCACTTCAGGTGACGAGGAGCCGTCCGCTGTGGGTGGCGTCCCAGCTCCTGCTCTGACCCTGGGCCACGGTTCTGTGTGTCTGGGCCCAGTGTCCCCTCCCAGAGGACGGGTGTGGGACACAGGCTCCCAGGGCTGTGAGGACGAGACGAGACGGCACACAGTGGCGTCCGAGCAGTACAGACAGAGCGGCCACCACCAACACCCTCTGTATCTCGGGGCAGGGCTAAGACGGCCGGCGTCTGGGCAGCTTTGCCCCAGGAACCTCATGCCTGCAGGCCGACAGCTAACCGCTCTGGGCCTCGATCTCCCGTCTGTGCAGCGGGGCCCCTCCCAGCCTGCACCTTGGAGGCTCTGATGCTGTGCTGATGTGGACAAGCTTGCCGCCGCCGTGGGTCCTGGCCCACCGCGTGGCTCCCTGCGACCGTGGGTCCTGGCCCACCACGTGGCTTCCTGCGGCCGTGGGTCCTGGCCCACCGCGTGGCTCCCTGCGGCCAGGCTGTCATCTCAGTCTGTGGTGCCTCCAGGACGGAAGCTAGACTAAGATAAGAGAACGTCTGCTCAGAGGGACAGACAGCTCCGCACCCAGGCCGTAAGAGGGGCTCTACTTGGTGACCGAAACGGCGTCACAGTGTTTCAGTGACTGATTTGCTCCCACAAAATGGGGTGCCTGGTTCTCCAACCAGCCTCAAACCTCAAGAGTGGCTCCCGATCCAAACAATTTCTGACCCAGCTCAGGGAGCACGGGCAATGTCTGGAGAATCTTTTCTTCAGTTATATACATGTACATACATACATGTTACAGCTGAAACCTATCCTCTAGCGTGTTCCCAGTGCTCACACAGTCATCGTGCCGGGTGCTGGATCTCTGGCCGCCGCCGCCCCCCGGAGCTGCGGCTCTGCACCCGTGGGAGACGTTTTCCACGGCGAGGCTGAGCGACCGACACTGCCACCCAGTGGGCGGAGGCCAGGGCCGCGGCTCCACACCCAGCAACACACGGGACACACCCCAGAGGACCCACCTGGTCCAACGTGTCCGCGGTGCCAAGGCTGACGAACCGTCCCAAACAGGTGGGCCCTTAGCAAAGGCTGCCCCAGGAAAAAGTATAACACTGGACTATTACAGCACAGTGTATAATGATGGTCAACGGGTGCAGGGTCTCCGTTTAAGAAGATATGAGAGTTCTAGATGCCCAGCCGGTGTGGCTCCGTGGTTGAGCGTCGACCCTGCACCAAGAGGTCGCCAGTTCGACTCCCGGTCAGGACACATGCCCAGGTTGTGGGCTCGATCCCCAGTGGGGGGCCTGCAGGAGGCGGCCAGTCGATGTTCTCTCTCATCGATGTTTCTATCTCTCTCTCCCTCTCCCCTCCTCTCTCTCTAAAATCAATAAAGAAAAGAAAAGAAAAAAAAAGAGATGGCTGGTGGTGCTGATGCCACTGTCTGTCCACGGAAAAATGACGCAGGGGGTGTACTCTGTTACGTATACATCACCACAACAGAATCTGTGTTATTTAACGACGTCTATAATTACACATTACCTATTATTGCATCGTTATATTCTTCCATAAATTCACGTGTCCCCCACACGCCAACTCCTGTTACGACCCACGACATCGGCCCCATCCTTGTCGACTGGACAGGGGAGCAAACTGAAGCAGAGGAGGCCGCGGTGACCCCAAGGGCACAGGTGGGCAAAGACCTGCACCCCGGGGCTCTGTCTGCCACTGAACCGACCACACGGACCCCAAACGGCCTTCAGGACAGTTCACTCGCAAACAGTGACCGGGCACTGGCTACGGCCAGGTGCTGCAGGGTCAGGAGGAAGTGGACGGACAGGACCCCCACTCAGGGAGCCAGGCCACCGACAGGAAACAGAAATGGTCCAGGAGCACCGTCCAGGGACACGCTGAAGGTGTCTGGTGGGAAATGCAGGGGGAGTGAGGCGCCCAGAGGTGACAGGGCCCTGGGAGCAGCCACCTCCGAGAGGCAGCCTCAGGGCCCCGCGCTGCCCGAGGATGGGCCGCCGGCTCCCTCTCTGCCCCTCACAGTGACCCGCACAAGCCTGGTGCTCCGCAGAGCCGCAAGGAGCCCGCCACCGGCCCTGTGCTAACGGGCAGCTTTCAGCCTCTCTGGGCCCAGTGTTCTGTTCTGTAAAATGGGGCTGAGAGAACCAGTAATGAGAAGACCGACGATGCTGCACGCTCAGCGGCGCGACCCTCAGTGCTGCGAACTGAGGCAAACATGTAAAGGTTTAGTCTCGTGTCAAGTGCATGTATAAGCTTCCCTTGAGAAACTTCCCCCTGAGTGTACGAGACACACGCACAGACGGTCGGCGAAGACATATTCCGGCAAAGCCAGGCCTTTCCGCAGATGCCCAGGCCTGTCTCCGACCTCACCATGCTGCAAGGGTCACGCTGACTCACACAGCCATTGACAGAGTCACGAACTACGAGCTCACCTCCAACACCAGGGCTCACAGGTCCCCTCCCACCTCTCTGCTCCCGCCTGGCGTCATCCGAGGGACTTCAGGGACTTTCCGTTTGTGTCCACTTGAGACCATCGCGTTCCGGAGGGGCTCCCGGAGCCCACACAGCTGGGGAGACGGGCCGGGTTCGGGCGGAGGGAGTGCACTCGGGTCTGTGACGTTCTCAGAACCCGCAGCCCCGTAAAGGGGCCCCAAATCTAGAACTCCAGGGATGCCAATCAGTAGGCTGGTTTCTCCCAAAACTAAACGTTCTCCTACCACGTGACCCAGCAGCCGTGGCCCCTGGCATTTACCCAGAGGAGCTAGAAACCGGTGTCCACTCGGGTGTTACGTCCGCTTTATCCACGACGGCCAACACCTGGGAGCAGGCACAGAGCTGTCAACAAACCCACCCGTGCTGGAGGGTGTCATCTATCATCTGATTCTACTAATGGGGGGCCAGGGAAGCGCCCCTGAGCTAGAAGGCTGCTGGGGTCAGAGTTCAAGCCACGGCTGTTCACCTGATAACTGCAGGTCATCCCACCATCCTGCCGCCATTCAGAACTTGCCTCTGGCCCCTGTGCCGGTTTGATTCCCGGTCAGGACACAGCCCAGGTTGTGGGCTGATCCCCAGTGGGGGGCGTGCGGGAGGCGGCCAGTCGATGTTCTCTCTCATCCATGTTTCCATCTCTCTCTGGTGGGGCTCCTCACCCCACCTGCTGCCACCTCCGACACTGAGGGGTGAGCCGGACGCTGCTGTCCGCTGAGGCCGCCCAGAGGGGTCGCCAGGTCTGTCCGAGCTGCTCACCGAGAGCAGTTTCTGCATCTCGACACCAATGACTTGATTTGTACACCGGCACTTAGTACTGTTTGCAATTAAGCGGATCTGCTTTCAAAACACGGCTAATGAGAACAGCCGCGGGCGGGGAGGCTCTGTGAGGCGCGCAGAGCTCGCACGGAAGTCGTCCCCGCGGGAGACGAGGCCAGTGTGTCCTGAGCTCTGCCCAAGGACCGAGGTGGGGAGGGCGTCCTGGGGCCAAGCAAGCACATGGCAGACAGAGCGGGGAGGTGGGCAGGCCTGGGCCCGGGGCACCCCTGGTCCCATCCTCCCCACCCCCACCTCCTCTGCTCTGCCCAAGGCCTCCCTGATGATGTCCTCCTTGTCCTGCTTGGTCTGTCCGCCCAGTGCCCACCCGCCCTCCACACGGACCTGCTTATCGGTTTAGTGCCTGTACCCACACAGAGAACGTACGCTCAGGGGTGGGGAGGCAGCGGTGTGGGGCCTGGGAGGCTCCCCAAGCCCTGCAGTCCCCTCACATGGCCTCCTGGTAGATGGGCCCAGCCCACTGTGGTGAAGGGGGCGCCAGAGGGGCCACAGCGGGTCAGGCATTGACCTGCAGACAGGAGAGGACGCAGGGGCTCCAGAATGAGGAGCAGACAGACCAGCACCTGGGGTGAGACCCGCCAGCAGGGGGGAGGAGGTGCCCTCGGCTCTGCTGTGGGCGGGAGCCCGGCACCACCGTCCTGACGTGCGCCCCGGCCCCCGGCACCCACCCCAGGACCTGCCCACGCAGGAGGATGCCGCTCACTGTGGCAGAGGCCACTCAGTGGTCTGCGCCCGAGGGAGTAGGGGGAGATCATGACGACCCCCCACCCCCACCCGAGGGCTGTGGTCAGGGAGGAGCAACCAGCTGGGAGCAAGTCCCTGTCACCTGCCCTGGGAACACAGAACCGACGGCCCAGGTGAGAACAGGTGTCCCGGGCGGCTCCCCGGCAGCGGCGGGGGGACCAGCGGGGCCTGTGCGACAGGGGGGAGGCCAGAGCCGCCGAGGTCTGTGCCCACCTGACCCGTGGAGTCAAGAGTAGCCTCACCACACGTCCAGCATGAGGGGTCACGGAGGCCGGGTGGGCGCCCCTCCGGGGGAGACCCCGGGAGACAGGAGAGCAGGTGCAGCTGAGGGAGTGGCCGACGGCTTGACGGGCGCTGCCCACAGCCAACCAGGCTCCACGCTCCACGCTGGGCACTGACGGGGCCACGGGGGGTCCGGGACGGAGTGAACGGGGGACCCGGTGACGAAGGTACACGGCTGCCCCCTGACGGACTCGCCCCCCCTCCCGGGCAGACACAGAGGGGGCAGGGTGGGGGCAGGGCTGACACTGTGCAGCACCAGCAGGGAGCAGAGGGGCCCCGGGCCATCCGCCCCCTCGAGGAGCATGTCCCGAGGGCCCACCGCGCGCCAGCTGCCCGGCTTCCAGAGTGAGCAGGCAGACAGCACCCTGCCTGGGGGGCAGCATACCCTGGGGGCACATCCGGGGGGCCCACAGGTGCTGGGCAGGGATGGTGCTGAGAACGAAGAGCCGGGGAGCAGGCAGTGAAGGTGGCATCTCGCTGAGGGTGGTCCCTGAAGGCCCTCGTAGCAGGGACCCCACAGGAACAGAGGGAGCAGACCCCCCAACGTCCCTGTGGCTGCCCCCCCCCCCCCGTCCCTGGGCCTCAGGTTCTCACCTGTAAATACAGAGAACAACACCTACTTCGGCCACTTCCTGTATCTGAAAGTCTCTGCCTGGCCCCTGGCAGGTGTTGCTCAGCGGTTAGAGCGTCGGCCCGAGGACCAGAGAGACCCGGGTTCGGTTCCCGCTAAGGGCACATACCTCGGTTGCAGTTTGTCCCCGGCCCTGGTTGGGTCGTGTGGGTGGCAGCCACTCGATGTGTCCCTCTCACGTCGATGTTTCTCTCTCTCTCTCTGTTCCTCTCTCTCCCTCCTCCCCTCTCTCCCTCCTACTCTATCTGAAGATAAATACACAAATGTCCTTGGGTGAGGATAAAAAAAATAATAATTAAAATAATAATAAATGAATAAATAAAAGTCTCTGCTCAGCTGGTGTGGCTCAGGGGTTGAGCGTCGACCCTGCACCAAGTGGTCGCTGGTTCGATTCCCGGTCAGGGCACATGCCCAGGTTGTGGGCTGATCCCCAGTGGGGGGCATGCAGGAGGCGGCCAGTCCATGTTCTCTCATCGATGTTTCTCTCTCTCTCTCCCTTCCTCTCTCTCTAAAATCAATAAAGAAAAATATTTATTAAAAAACAAGGGTGAAACTGGTAAATTTCACATTACATGCATTTACCACGATTTTAAAAATAAAACGATGACCCCCCCTTTGTAGAAACAAGTGCGTGGCCCCCAACAGGTGCCCCACCCTCCCCCAAGGGGCCAGGAATTGCCACCAACACAGGGGCCAGGGCTCGGCGGTCACCAGCCCGAGACAAGGGCCAAGCTGGGGGGGGGAGGGGCGCGACCTCCCGGCCCAGCCCTGCTCTGCCCTCAGCCCTGGTCCCTGAGCCTACGACCGGGAGGCCAGCAGGGAAGACGAGCCTGAGGCAGGCTCCGCGCAGGGCCCCCGAGACCCAGGGACTGTGGGAGTGGATATAAATAGCCTAAGCTCCCAGCCCGCGGCTGAGCCTGGCGGCTGAGCGATGGGCCCGGAGCCCCACCCGCCCTGGGAGCTCACGGCAGAGACGCTCCTGCTCTGTGCTCAGGCCTCTGTTCTGGCTCCGAACCCCACCTTGCCGCCTGCCGCAAGGTCTCCCCTAAAACGCAAACCGGTGTTTAAATAGGAACAGAATCCTCTCCTGCCCGAGAAGGATCTGGTCGCTGCCTAAGCCCCTGACCGAGGGGCCGCGCAGACGGGGCAGAGTGGAGCCGGCGGTGAGAACCCCCCTGGTCTGCGTTCCTGACCCGGCACCGGGACCTGGTCTTCTCTTCACCCGATTCCTCTAATGAGCCTCATTAGTCTCAGAATCAACCTCCGGAGCGCGTGGCGAGGCCTCTTCTGCCGGGTGCACCCTCCTCCCCGCCCCACGGACCGGGCATCTCCTGAGGCCTGACCTTGGCCTCGGCTCCGGCACCCCCGGCAGACAGCTGGGCGGGGCACGTGCCGGTCAGGCCACCGGACAAACGCATGGATCTATTAGTAATCCGACACGTGGGAGGAGAGGAGAAGTGGACAGACCGCACACGCACACGCACATCCTGGCCTCCGTCCCTCCGCCCCTCACTCTCCACAGCTCCCTGTACCCTCCGTCAGCGCCTGTCTGTCTGTCTGTCTCTCCCCGAGCAGTGCAGCTGAGCGCAGGACCAGAGGACTGTGGGCTGTAACCGCGCCACCCTCTCCCCCTCGGGGGGCAGGGACACCGATTTCAGACTCCAGAGGGGTGGCCCAGGTGTCCCCGGTCCCACGCAGGGAGGGGCACCCTGCCCGCCCCTGGAGACCCGCTGCCCCGGTGACTCCCCGCTGGGCGGAAGCCTCCCCCAGACGGGCCTCTCTCTGTCACAAGAGACCCACCATCCCGAAGGTCAGAGTCCAGGGGTCTCGCCCCCCCTCCACCTGTGTCTCACACCTCACCCCTGAGTGGTGACATTCAGCAGCTGTCCCACACCGGGGCCCTGGAGACACCTCTGCTCCCATCAATTCAGAGGCCCAGGCTCCCCGAGATGTGGTCACACCCTCAAGTCACAGCTGTGACACCCCCTCCTGACTGAGGGCTGACCAAGAGCGGCCAGACCAAATCTGCAGACATGAAGACAGTTATTCTCGTGTAGGGTCTGGGGGTGGGGGTGGGCCGCATGGGCAGTCAGGACCCGGGTCCTCGTAAACCACTCTGGCTGCCCCCCTGCAGCCAGCGAAACGGAGAAGCAAGGTGCAAAGGGCCCCTCTTCCTTCCACACGTCCTGGAAGTCACCCCCACACGCCTGCTCCCTCCTGCCCGACACTGTCCGAGGGGAGAGCTCGCGTGTCCGGGCTGCAGCTCACTTCCCAGAGGGAGGAACCTCCCTCACTGCTCAGGATGGAGCCGGACGCCAAGCCCAGAGGCAGGCATGTTAGCCCCAACCCCACAGCCCTGACACACCCTTCCCGGGAAACATCCACCCCAGGAAGCAGCACCCCAGGACCCAGCACAGGTCCGACGGCACCAGTGCCGGCCTTTCCCAGACGGAAAGCCCAGCTCAGGCTGCCGACGGCGGGGCCGAGCTGAGCCCACAGGCCCTGGAGAGTCCCTGGCTGGAGACCTTCCCCCAAACGGGGACACCCCACAAGCCAGGTCAGGGGAGGCGGGTGATTGGTTTCAACCAGATTCAAGCAAAGGAGAACCGTCCGGGGGAAACAGCGTACATTTCAGCCACAGCTGTCACCTTGAGAAGAAATCAAAGCCGCCCGGCCCGTGTGCTCAGTGGACTGAGCCTCGTCCTGTGAACTTAAAGGTCCCAGTTCGATTCCCAGTCAGGGCACATGCCCAGGTTGTGGGCTGATCCCCAGTGGGGGGCGTGCAGGAGGCGGCCGAGCGATGTTCTCTCTCATTGATGTTTCTCTCTCTTTCTAAATAATTAAATCACAGCCAACCCCCTCCTGGAAGAACAGAAGTAGAACCCAGAATGCAGAACCCCGAAAAGCTGCACTGGCACTAGTAGGGGCTCGCTGTCATCCTGACACCCCCAGGAGCCGGCGGGGGGTTGCCTCCCTGCTCCCAGCTGCAGCACCAGCGGTGGGAGGTGGAGACACCACCTTCTACGGCAGACAGTGCTGAGGACGAGGAAGGGGGAGCTGCCTTTCCTGTTCCTCTGCTCCCCTCCACCTGAGGGACAGAACGTCTGGCACCTGGTGAATAAGGATTTGGAAAGCCAGGGATGCATCAGCTCCTACGCCCCCTGCCGCCTGCCCCTCCGGGCGCTGTCTTCCGGACCCAGCCTCTCCTCCGGGCCGAGCTGCAGGTGTGTGGGCGACAGAGAGGGGCCTGCAGAGCCCCGTCCACGAGAAACACCGCGTCTGTCCTGAACCACTTATCTCCTCAACCTTCCTGCCCAGGTCCACGTCCCTGTCGCGTTTCCCAGCGAGGCCGGGGGCTGCCCTGACGGGGAGGACAGCCCTCGTGCGAGTCTCCCCGAGCAGCGGGTGCAGGACGTGGGGACGGCGCGTGCCGAGCTCGGCCTGGCTCAGGGAGCGCAGCAGGTGCCCCTGAGATCGGCCCAGCCCCGCAAAGCTCCCGAGCGCCCTCGAGGAGGGACGGGCACGGGACAGAGCGGGCACTGCAGGGCCGGGCTCTGCCTTGTTCAGGCCGCCCCGCTTCTCCCCATGTGAGAACATCTGCGATAAAACACCAGAGAAGAACACCCCGTCCGTGTTCTCAGTACCCGGGGCCACCCCTCGCCTGTCCTCCCAGGCTGGGCCCCTCACAACCCCTCTCTCTGGCAGAAGCAGCCTCCCCTGTACACGGGGAGCTGGCCTCGGGGAGCCCGGCGTCACACGGGGCCTTGTTATGAAGCCCACCGGCTGGGGGTGCTGCAGCAGGACGGGCTGTGTGCGGCAGAGCCCCAGAGCCAGGCCAGGCAGTGGGCGGGGGGGGCATGAGGACACCCCAAGGTCAGCGCTCTTTACCAGTCAAACCACAGAGAAGCATCTCTGCTCACTGCCGGCCTGTCCAGCGGAAACGCCAGCCCTGCAGACGGGCGGCACTCGAACCCCAGACTGAAAACTCCCGTCCATGCAGTCACTCAGCCACGCCTGGCTCACGGAGCACTTCCAGTGACAGCCTGACAGCACCCACAGGTGGGGTGGCAGATCCGAGGCCCACAGAATCTGCAGCCACGTGTGGCCTGCACGGCCTCGTGGCCTCCTCTGCAGTTTCCGCTACGTTCACTTAGGTGAGTCCACTCTGCCCACTCCGTCCCTCCCACGACACAGTCACGGTGCTGTTCTCAGCCGCTCCGGCAGCCACGAGGACCACGCTAACCCTGAGTGAGATGGACCTTCCCAGTGCAGCCACCACACTGCTTCTCGGCAAAGGACAGAAAGCAAGAGTCACCACAGCTGTCACAACGGTTTCAGAGAAGCTGACACACAGCCGAGCGGACAGACCTGCAGCCACAGACCCATGACTCAGGGACCGTTCATCCAGTCCAGGTGTTCACACGGCCCCTCTCATGGCAGAGCCCACATGTCCACGAGATCACATGGCCCCTCCCGTGACACAGCCCACACGTCCACGAGATCACATGGCCCCTCCCGTGACACAGCCCACACGTCCACGAGATCACACGGCCCCTCCCGTGGCACAGCCCCACATGTCCACGAGATCACACAGATCCTCCCGTGGCACAGCCCCACACGTCGAGATCACACAGATCCTCCCGTGGCACAGCCCCACACGTCCACGAGATCACACGGCCCCTCCCGTGGCACAGCCCCACACGTCCACGAGATCACACAGCCCCTCCCGTGGCACAGCCCCACATGTCCACGAGATCACACAGATCCTCCCGTGGCACAGCCCCACACGTCCACGAGATCACACGGCCCCTCCGTGGCACAGCCCCACATGTCCACGAGATCACACAGCCCCTCCCGTGGCACAGCCCCACATGTCCACGAGATCACACAGATCCTCCCGTGGCACAGCCCCACATG